AAATTAATTCACACACTAAATATAAACAATAATTGACAAAAAATTAAATGAAATATTATGAGAAAATAGAAAAAATAAAAATAAAAATAAAAATAAAACTTAAAAACTATAAAAATTTTGAATCGAGATTGGATAAATATAAATTAGATAATTATATAATTATATTTCAACATATGAGTGAATATTTTAAAATAGTTAGAGATAGGAAAAAATAAACTTATCTATACTTTAGTGGTACAATAATTAATTTTAAGAGTTACAATTATTTAGTAGAGTAAAGAAAATAAGAGTTAAAAAAATACCAAATTTAAAAGTTTTTACTTAAAATAAAAAGCAATTCATTTCTGAAAATAGACATTCGAAATTTGAGTACCAATTAAAAAATAAGAAGGATTTAGGGCTTATTATTATTTATAATTATAAGATAATAGAAATAGTTATTTTTCTATATTAGTAATGTTTTCTAAATTAAAAAGTGGTGCTTTGTTTTTTATAAAAATGAATACCTAAATATGAAATCTTAATCAGTGTTTAAAAAATTAACATAGATTGAAAAAAACTAAAGTGATTTGAAATAAAACAAAAAAACTATCCTAGACATCACAAATACAAATAAATTAATCTTATAGAATTATAAAACTGTGTAATAATAATATATGAGAATGCTATTTGGAAATTAGAATAGTAATGGTAGATTGAAGAGTTTTTCATTAAAAATAAGAAGGATTTTGTTTATCCAAAAAAATAAATGTATTTTATATTAGAATAATTTTTAGAGAAGTCAACATTAAGAATACTATCTGAAAATCATAATATACGTTAAGTTATATATGTAGAAGGAGAATTTTGTTTTTTTCAAATGGGTAAGATAAAGTGCAAAATTTTATGTTGAAATTCTATGTTTGTATGTACGAATGAGTCCATATATGAGATTTGTTGTCTATAAAACAATTTTAGATGCACCCAAACATGGTCAAGAAATCTTATAACAAACATCTCCCCAAATTTCTGTTACCGATATTCACTTTAATAAAAAGATCATGAAACTTATAAAGAAATTGAATAGTGAAAGATATGAAGAAGAAAATAGATACGATCTAAGGAGAAAAGAGAGTATATGCCGGGAGACGACGAGTGAATCATAGAAGATAACGAGAAAAATTACAGTAAAAAGTGTGAAAAAATTATAATACTTTAAAAAGATAATGCACATGAATAAAGTAAAATATTTTAAAATTTAATTGATTATATTTATATTTAAATAATAAAAGTTTTATATTAAGTCTCGCGTAACACGCCGATACACAATCTAGTTACATAAAATAAGGAAAAATGTATTGGGAGATATCAATAAAGTAAAGACCGGTCACGTTTTTTTCAACAAAGAGCGGCCACTTTAGCTAAATATAATAATACTTCTTTAGCCATCGGGCTCGAGAAATAGTTGAAGATTCTTATTCTACAATTTATTTGTTATATTCGAATCAACAAAAAATACTTAAAAAAAAAATAAGATGGAGAAGGAACCAAAACTCAAAAGGGTTTGTTTGTTCATTTGTTGTCACACTATAAAACGACGCTCCTAAAACCACGTGACCACTCCACGCCTCTCCTCCTCTCTGCTTCTTCACTTCACTACTCTATTTCTCTCCGTCATCTATGGCTCCTTCTTCATCACCTCTTCGTACTACTACTAGGTAAACCAAAGGTCTCATCTTTCTTTTTATGACAAATGAGAAAGAAAAAATAAACAGATTTTAGTTATTAGAATCCCCTGATCTCTGGGGTATCTCGTGTTTGTTCATATTAATTCATTTTACTCTTTTTTTTTTTTTTTTTGGTGGCATGCATTGAAATCAAAACAGTGAAGCAGATGAAAAATATGCGAATGTGAAATGGGAAGAGCTTGGATTCGCTCTGACTCCAATAGATTATATGTATGTAGCCAAATGCAAACAAGGAGAGAGCTTTTCACAAGGGAAGATTGTTCCTTATGGCGATATTTCAATTAGCCCTTGTTCTCCGATTCTCAATTATGGTCAGGTATGTTTTGAGGACCATTGTGGCTCTAACTTCACCAGATTAAATGTTAATTTGCTTTGTCTGGTTGTACAAGCCTGCCAAATCTCACTGATTGTTGGAACTTTGGGTTTATTAGAAACATGATTAAGAAATTAGAAGCCTTTTAATCCAAATGCGAACAGGATTAAGAAATTGTTTTAATTGAGTGTAAAAGTCAGCAAAAGCTTAAAACTTTAGCGTATTGGTTTGGCTTTGTAGGGACTATTTGAAGGTCTCAAAGCTTACAGGACAGAGGACGACCGGATTAGGATTTTCCGGCCTGACCAAAACGCTCTTCGCATGCAAACTGGTGCGGAGAGGCTTTGTATGACACCTCCTTCTCTGGAGCATTTTGTCGAGGCAGTTAAGCAAACTGTGCTTGCCAACAAGAAATGGGTATGGACTGTTGGACCATTGTATCTCTAGTTCCTTTTGATGTGGTTCTCCATCATAGTTTACTCTCATCTTTAGGAGTTGCTGCTAAAGAGTACTGTAATGGTTTTTGGGTTTTAGGTACCTCCTCCGGGTAAAGGAACTTTGTATATAAGGCCTCTGCTACTAGGGAGTGGTGTTACCCTTGGAGTAGCTCCAGCACCTGAATATACATTTCTCATATATGCATCTCCCGTAGGAGATTACCATAAGGTGATTTTGTATGTTTTTGTTTCTAATACTCTCTGCCTTAAGACTCTTTAAAGTTGAGACAGTTAACTAGTTTGTCTGTCTTGTAGGTAAGCTCAGGCTTGAACCTCAAAGTTGATCATAAGTCTCACCGAGCCCATTCAGGTGGAACGGGTGGTGTCAAGAGCTGCACAAACTATTCTCCAGTAAGTAAAGAGACACCAGAAAGATATATATGTCTTCCATGGAAACAGGTTAATGAAATATCTAGTTTTCTGATTTCTTCTTTATAAATTTAAAAGGTTGTGAAATCGTTGCTCGAAGCAAAGTCAGCGGGTTTCTCTGATGTCTTGTTCCTGGACGCTGCAACTGGTAGAAACATCGAAGAGCTTACTGCTTGTAACATCTTCATTCTCAAAGTAAGGAGTTTCAACATTTATTCCACAGAATATAGAAAGTTTCAACGTTTAGATTCCTATGCGTAAACTCATTAGTAATCATTCATTGTTTAGGGAAACATTGTGTCCACTCCACCAACTTCAGGAACCATTTTACCTGGAGTCACGAGGAAAAGCATCAGCGAGCTAGCTCGTGATATTGGATACCAGGTTCCACCTCCTCTTTCATCTGTAGACATTCTCACGAAGTCAAGATTTTCAGAATGTAAATCACAATGTATCACAGGTTGAAGAACGTGATGTTTCTGTGGATGAGCTACTAGAGGCAGAAGAAGTTTTCTGCACAGGGACTGCAGTGGTCGTTAAAGCTGTTGAAACTGTGACCTTCCATGACAAGAAGTGATCAACTTTTTCTAAAAACATAATAAATTAAAGACCCTTTCATCAAATCTTAAATGTTGATGTTGGTTCATATCTATCTTTGACCACAGGGTAAAATACAGGACAGGAGAAGCGGCATTGTCAACGAAGCTTCACTCGATGTTAACCAATATTCAGATGGGGGTTGTTGAAGATAAGAAAGGTTGGATGGTGGAGATCGATAGCTGTCAAGGTTGAGAGAAGAAGTTTAGAAAGTTGATGATCAACGTGTATTTTCCTCTTCTCATGTGTTGGTTTTTCTTAGGACTTTTTTTTCATGTGACTTGTAATAATGAAGACTCTTAAGAATGATCACAGTTTGAACTTCCTAGACGACATCGTTCAATAAGAGAGGCAAATTAAAAATTAAAAAGATGTGTTGAACTAAAAAGGGTTCTGCAAAACAACTCTCTAAGTTAATTTCGTTTGCAAGTTTACCTTCCAAGTCTGAATTATGCAAGTCAACCCCACAATCTCAAAAGTCACCCGCAATACAACCCTCCCGTGTAGCGATGACGTGGCACCCGATAACTCCGTTTGAAAATATAAGGGATTTTTGCAAAAAAATCCTCATGTAATTTTTTTTTGCAAAACAAACCTCCATGTCAAATAAATGCATGTCAAACCACAATCTCATAAGTCACCTACAATATAGCCCTTCCGTATATCGATAACGTGACAATCGATAACTTATTTTATGTGATGTAGTATGTAGGAGTATCATGCATCTCGAGCCTCAAATTGGTTAATTCTTCCATCATAACCTCATCCCACCATTTCCATAAGTGATATGCCCCGGTCTATCAAGATTCAACCAAGATTTCTGATCATGTAGAAAACAATTCAACAAACACTTCCATCAAAATTTTGACATGTGTAGAATAGCCTTCCATAATCTTTTCGGACAACGACGAATCCGGGAAAAGTATTCTACACATGTCAAATTTTGATGTAAGTGATTGTTGAATTGTTTTTTACATAATCGGAAATCTTGGTTGAATCTTGGTTGAATTTTAGTTGAATTTTAAGTGATTCATATAAAAATTTGAATTTTGGTTGAAGTTTTGGTTAAATTTTGATAGACTCGGGCATGTCACATATGGAAATAGTGGGATGAGGCTATGATGGAGGAATTAACCAAGTTGAGCCTCGAGATGCATAATACTTGTACATTACATAAAATGAGTTATCTATTGCCACGTCATCGATACACGGAAGAGCTATACTGCATGTGACTTTTGAGATTGTGGTTTGATATGCATTTATTTGACATGGAAGTTTGTCTTGCAAAAAAAAATTACATGGAGGGTTTTTCTGCAAAAACCCCTTATGTTTTTAAACGGAGTTATCGGGTGCCACGTCATCGCTACACGGGAGGGTTGTATTGCGGGTGACTTTTGAGATTGTGGGGTTGACTTGCATAATTCAGACTTGGAGGGTAAACTTGCAAACGAAATTGACTTAGAGGGTTGTTTTGCAGAAAAGAAGTAAAAAAAGATATGACAGCTGTGGGATTTGAACCCACGCCCTTTCGGACCAGAGCCTAAATCTGGCGCCTTAGACCACCTTGGCCAAACTATCATTTGTTCCACTTATCATAAATTATCAATATAGAATCGGTACGGTTATCTTTCTCCACATCGCTTGCGTGTGACGCAAGTCCGCGTGTACGTTTTTTTTTTCAAATTCAAATGCTAACAAAGTTAGACCTAAACATTTTTTTGATAAAAGACACGAATTTCTACGTTTGCTTTTAAAAGAGTGGGTTGAACCATACAATTTTTAATACTCCTTTCGGTAAATTGCATATGGAGAATAATTCATATCTTTTTAGTTAAAGCAAAATTTTGTAGTTCTTTAGCATCCTAATCTTGATTTAGATTCGGTATAATATTTCTAATCTCCATATGAATCAATAATACAATTTCTTAAAATCTTTAACTTGTACATATATATAGACACCGGACACCTTGTATTTGAAGCTTGTAGACTTGTAGTACATAAAGTTTAATCACGATGGCGACGAGCTATTATTTTATTTTCATCAAATAACGTCGTTTTGGTCATTAAAATCCATAAATTGAACTAAAAGACGTCATTTTGGTCATTTATATCCATAAAATCAACAAAACGATGATGTTTGATTAAGATAAAATATCACTGGTAAAGATAAAACAACACCTCGTTGTCACCGTGTTGAGTTGATGGACTCAAATGACCAAAACAACGTTACTCCTCGTTGTCATCGTGTCGTTTAAGTGAGTGAAAACAAATGGTTGACTAATTTTGTTTAAGTCAATGTAGTTTTACGCTCAAATTTAATAGTCTCGGTAGTTTATTTGAATTATTTTAGCGTTGAGGTTGAAAACGGCATTGTATATTTGTTGAGGTATAAAAACGCATTTTGCAATTTGTTCGGGTTGAAAAACGCTCTTTTCCCAAGAAGAAGCATTGTCTATGTAGCTTCACTTGATATTAACCAATATTCAAATGGGAGTTGTCGAAGATAATTAAGAAGGGTTGGATTGTGGAAATCGATCATTTTACTGTAACAGATTCGTTTCCTGATGAAATAAAAGGAAAATAAAGAAAGCGGAATTCAAAGAAGAAAGAAGCACAAAGAAGAAAGAAATAAACCAAGAAAAGAAATTAACTAAGCAAAAAAAAAACACAAAGAACAATGAAAAGCGAGAAAAATAAATAAAAAGAATAATATTTGTTATCTTTTGTTTAAAGAATTATTACTATATATATTAGATTTTTTTTCCATAAATACCACTAACATATATTAGTGTTTTGGAAAAAAAACTCATTTGATTAGTGTTAACAACCTAGTGATAGTGTTTCTGGGACAAAAGCTTAGTTTAATGATCTTTAAGTTAGGGTATTTCTCTAAAATCTATCAGCTTTTTTCTTACAAACCTCAAAATCATATTGATTGCTTCTATAAAATTTAGATGATTTTTTTTATTCCATTCTTCAAGAAGAAATATATTAAACTAAAATGATTTATAAGTAGATTCTGGCCTTTATTATTTGTATTGAGTTGGTTTATATGTATTAAATGTCGCCTTGTGTGTAAATGCCATGAAACAAAAAAAAAAAACTCCAGCCCTTGGAGTTTTCAGGAAAGATTAGTTTTAATACATAGACATCAAATGAACTCATATTTTATTTCTTTTCTTTTTTTTATAAATGTAAAGTTATATTCACCAAAAAACTGTTTTACAAATAATGCATCACAAAATCCAAAGAATTTGAATATTTCGGATAAAGATTTAAATTGAGAAGGAGATAAGCGGCTATGTGTATCGAACCACATATTTTATTTCAACATTTGCAAATCAGATCGATGACTTAATTCACTTTGACAGCATAATACATATGACACAAAACAAAAATCAAAAACCACATACATAATTGTTACTTGATTTTCCAATTGAGAACATGTCCTGGCGGGCTATGATATCTTCTTGTAAACCAAATTCCATCCTCTTTAGCAATCCATGAGCGTAGTTGACCGCATCTAGGATAAGAGCCTTGATGATATACTTCAATATCATACCAATACGTTGGTTTAGTCCCGTAACTAAGCATACAATACAATTTTGTACGATGAGGTACCTTATCCACAAACTTAATGATAAGAAAAGGATCCTTAAAATTTAGCTTATGAAACCATATAGGTGGGCGCTCTATGCTATCTTTTCGACATGCAATGTTGAGAACAATACCAGGACCGAGTTCGTTATGAATTACTACATGATTTGTTTAGCAAGCTTCATATAGCCCAAAGAACATTGTAGTAACTAGCAAAACAATTATGAAATGATTCATTTTTAGGATCTCAAACAATTCTTGAAGTAAGAATGGCATCAACATATAGTATTTATAATGTATTTATTGCACTAACTTTATCGATTGAAAAACAATATATGAAACATATTTTATTTTATATTCAACCAAAAAGAAACTGAACAGATTTGAAAGTATATCTTAAACATATCTATGAAAATAATTGACAAATTAGTTAGTCTATCATCTGAGATTTCAATCTTCATTTTTGTACACACATAATTTGAATTAATTCATGTATCCATAAAATTCTAGTGCTATCAAAATTATGTAATTCAAAGATTTGTAAGGAAGATATTTAATTTTTCAGCCAACCAAAAAAGGAAATAGCAAATATTTGGAAATATATCTTCAATATATATTAAAATTAAATAGCATAAGATTAAATTGTTATAAAATTAAAATAAAATTAAATAGCATAAGATTTATAAACTATTTACAAAATTAAATATTATAAAACTAAATAGCATAAATTTTATGCACGGTCTCTTACCTAGTTATTATTAAAATGTAGATTTCTTTTAATTGTTTGAAATGTTGAATGAAGGAATCCGGGATAGTTTATTTTGTATAAATTTCTTATTTCGATATGCCCATTGAAAATAGAGTTAAATATTCTTCTTCAATTTTTCAAATGGAAAGATAAAACTAAAATCGCAATGAGAGTAAATTTAAAATTGAAACAAATTTGATTACTTTTACTTATTAAGATAAAAATAAAAAATTAATTAATATTCTTTTAAAAATAGAAAATGAAAATTTACATAAAGAACCAAATCTTAAAATCCCAACTCTGATCCGGTTAAGGCCCTCCTAAGTAGAAGAAGATACCGAAGGATCGAAGATTTGCACAACGAAAAAACCAATTCTAGTTTTGTTTTCTCTAAACAAGAAAAAAATGGATGATCTGCCACAAAATCCATGGGAGGAGGCGGCATAGTAGCGCTGCATCCACAAGTGTAAGCTAGACATCCACAAGCCCACAACTTCTTCTTCATCGATCTTAATCAAAGCTGAAACTGTTTTTGTAGAAAATGTTAATTAGCACACAAAACAAAAAACGTAGAAAACTGTTAATTTAGCACAAAAACATTGAAAGTAGACAAAACTCACCCTTTTTTATGAGTATTGGCTACTCAAAGCTTTAAAAATTGTTTCAAAATACATGAAAAAAATATTGATAAAACGAAAGAAAGTGAACAATGGTTTTTTTTGTTTTTGTTAATCAGAGGAATCCCATACCAAAACATAGGCTAATATCTGAGGTCCATAAAATCTTAAAAGACAATTTCATCAAATCTTTAGTCTTTCTGCGGTTTACCTAACGTCGATTTTGGGTCATATCTATCTTTGAACACAAGGTAAAATATAGAACATGCAGAAGAAGCATTGTCTAGGAAGCTTTACTTGATATTAACCAATATTCAAATGGGAGTTGTCAAAGATAAGAAGGGTTGGATTGTGGAGATCGATCATTTTATTGGAACAGATTCGTTTTCTGATGAAACAGAAGGACAATCAAGAAAACTGAATTCAAAAAAGAAAGCAGCACAAAGAAGAAAGAAATCAAGATATTAAGTTATTAACTAAGCAAAAAAAAAACACAAAAACATGAAAAGCGAGAAAATAAAATAAAAGGAACAAAATTTGTTATCTTTTGTTTAAAGAATTACAAGGTAAGAACCCGTGCCATACACATGTAAATCTTATGTTATTTAGTTTTACGAGAGAATTATTTATTAAAAAAAACTTAAGCTTATACACACAAAATTCTCTCTAAAAAACAAATTAGGTTTGGCCGCCGCTTTCGGCTCCGGTGGCTTACACAGCACCGGAGTCAACCTAGTTCCGTTTAGGCTTTTTATCTCCTTTCAACCTTTAGTTTTGCTTGTTGTTATCGTGATGGTGATTCGTCTCGTGAGGTGTGTGAGGTGTTTCCCGGCGTGGAAGAGTTTGGAGGCATGTGGAGAGCAAGATCTGTGAGCGGCGGTGTTGGTTTGGTTAGATCTAGATATGGAGATGTGCGACGGGACTTCCGATGACATCAGTGCTTGGTCTTCAATTCAATCCCTAGATCTACTTCTCCTTTTCGTCGTTTTTGTGCAGAAGTTTGGGTATCGTTGGCCTCTGCTCTCTCGTCTCTCCTCTTCTCATCCGGCGTCTCTTTGGTTTTTCGACCTGCCTTATTGCGAGTCGAATCTCTTCTCAGTTCTTGTTAGATGTTTGCTTGTGTTTGGCCTTTGATTGTTGTTGTTGGTGTTTTTGTTGGGTTAGTCTTTGAAATTGCTAGGTTATGGTTTTGCTCTCTGTTTTCTCTAGAAAGCTCCGGGGATTGGTCATTGTGGCTGGTTTTGGATAGCTTTCGATTTATCTCATATTTGTTCGTTGAATCTTTTAAGTTTATCTCCTTCCACCGCCTCTAGTTTAGTTTAATAGGTAGGTTTTCTCTCGTGGTTTGTTACTCTTCTGTTCTTGTAAGGCTAACCTTTTGTGGGGATGCAAAGTTCTAGATTTAGACTTGTTCGTTAGAAGACTAGGTGGTTGGGATTTAGATTCACGGTTTTGCTTATATGTTCGGGATAATCGTTTTTAGTTGGGATATGTTCTTCGCGGTATCTTCTATCCTTGGCTCTACTTCGTTTGCGGTTGTAGATCCTCTTGGCAGCGACCTTCGAGCTCTGAATTCCGCGATTATTGTTCTCCTCCGACTTTCCTGGTGATTTCGA